ATTTAACCTTGAACTCCTGGGCTCATGTCATTTTCCTGCCTTAGCCTCCCAAGTATCTAGGACTACAGGTGCATGCTTCCCTGCCCACCTAATTATTTAAATTTTTGGTATTGATGGGGGTCTCACTCTGTTGCCCAGGTTAGCATTGAACTCGTGAACTCAAAGTGATCCTCTTGCCTCCATCTTCCACCTTGGTTTCCCAATGTTTTGGGATGATAGGTTTGAGCCATGGCATCAGCTTCTTTGTATATTTTGGCTACCAATTCCTTATCAGATGTGTTTTTATGTTTTCTCTGAGTCTCTAGTTTATCTTTTTATTCTTTTTTTTTTTTTTTGTAGTTTTTGGCTGGGGCTGGGTTTGAACCCACTACCTCCGGCATATGGGGCCGGCGCCCTGCTCCTTTGAGCCATAGGCACCGCCCTAGCTTTTCATTCTTTTACCAGTGTTTCCCAGAGCAGAAGTTTTGGATTTTATTTTTATATTTAATTATTTGTTTATTTATTTTTTAGAGACAGAGTTTCACTTTGTCGCCCTCGGTAGAGTGCTGTGGCATCACAGCTCACAGCAACCTCGAACTCCTGGGCTTAGGCGATGTTTTTACCTCAGCCTCCCAAGTAGCTGGGACTACAGGCAGCTGCCACAATGCCCGGCTGATTTTTTGTTGCAGTTTGGCCCAGGCTGGGTTTGAACCCACCACCCTTGGTATATGCAACTGGCACCCTACCCACTGAGCCACAGGTGCCACCCTATTTATTTATTTATTTTTGAGATAGTCTTATTATGTCACCCTCGGTATAGTGCCATAGTGTCATAGCTCACAGCAACCTCAAACTTGTGGGCTCAAGCAATCTGCCTCAGCCTTCTGAATAGCTTGGACTACAGGGACCCGCCATAACGCCTGGCTATTTTTTTTTGTTTTTAGCAGGCCTGGGCTGGGTTAGAATGCACCAGCCCTGGTGCATGTGGCCGGTGCCCTAACTACTCAGCTATGGGCGCCAGGCCTATTTATTTTTTTGAGACAGAGTCTCATTTTGTTGCCCTTGGTAGAGTGCTGTGGTGTCATAGCTCACAGCAACCTCAAACTCTTGGGCTCAAGCAATTCTTTTGCCTCGGCCTCCCATGTAGGTGGGACTACAGGTGCCTGCCACAACACTCGGCAGTTTTTAGAGATGAGTTCTTGCTCTGGCTCAGGCTGGTCTCAAACTGTGAGTTGAGGCAATCCATCTGCCTTGGGATCCCAGAGTGCTAGGTTCATAGGTTTGAGCCATCCTGCCCAGCCTCCTTCCTTTATTTTCTTAAAAACTCTTAGTCTTATCCTTGTTTCTTTCTCTTCTCTGGTAGTGTTTAATGTATTTTGAGCTGTGCAATATGTACTCCTACATTATTTCGTGCAAGTAAATGATTAGTTCTTAACAGAGATGTCAGTTCCTGGAGGAGGGAGCCTTGATTTTTTTTTTGTGCTCCTTAAAAAATCTGTTCAAGGCTGGGCACGGTGGCTCACGCCTGTAATGCTAGCACTCTGTGAGGCCAAGGCGGGTGGATTGTTTGAGCTCACAGGTTTGAGACCAGCCTGAGCAAGAGCAAGACCCTGTCTCTACTGAAAAATAGAAAAATTGAGGCAAGGGGATTGCTTGAGTCCAAGAGTTGGAGGTTGCTGTGAGCTATGACACCATAGCACTCTACCCAGGGTGACAGCTTAATACTGTCTCAAAAAACAACAAAACTCTGTTCCACAAACATGTTGTGTGTGGAAGTCCATTAAGGATCCAAAGAAGGTCGACCTGGTCTAGAAAAGTGTCTTTGAATTTAATTAGTATTTGAGTAGCTGTGGTGATGCATCATGGGTTTGAATCATTTCCTTTAGTTCATGTGAAGAGGGGAAATCATCACAGGTTTTCATGACCATTCAGCTTCTAACACGAAATGAGTTGAGTTTTTATTGTTAAAGTTGTTCTTTATTGCACTAAGCCACTTTGCATTGAGGAAACCAGCATCTTCCATCAAATTGATGAGGAAGTGCTGCTGGTGAGGAATGGTTTAGTTTCTTGATGGGTATCAGAGGAGGAAGAGGGTTAGAAGAGACACAGCTTCGAGTGTCTTTAATACAGCCTGCTCGTTCTTTGAGCGCCCCTTAATGCAAAACGTACGTTGTTTTCCAAAACTGTGAAGAACCTGTAGTAATTTGGAAACACAATACATTTCCTTTGTTTTTTTCCTTCCCTTTTCCCTCCCTGGGCTTGGGGGAAGACAGCGCTGAGGCAGCTTCCGAGGCATCCTGAGCTCCAGAGAGATCGTACAGTGCGTGTGTGTTAACTTTTGAGACTGCCCTCTGTTCCTGTCTAACTCAGCATAATTCTCTGGAGAGTCATTAAAATGAGTGATAGAGGTTCTGTCTTTTGCAGCAATCTCTTTTCCAGACCTCTGGAAAAGGTCTCTGCCTAATGATATATTTGCGTGCTTCCAAGTGCTGTAACTGGAGATGGAGAATGTTAGTGGTTTTCTTCTTCTTCTT